ACTTTTTATTATTATAACATGTGTTTTACTCTGGTACAACTGGCAGTTCCCACAACAAAACATAAATTTGAATATAAATAACCACATTTATTGTCAAAATGTTTTTCTTACTGAAGATAAATTAGTCACCTGTTACACAGGTCATATTCTATAACAAATTCTAAGATACATCAAAGTGTGATTAAACAAAAAATTATGTTGCTAAAAATCTATGCTTATATCCAATTCCTCTAGGCTTGAGAAGGACAGAGGAGTAGGACATCTTTAACCTGGAGGAACCTGACACCTTTGTGTCTTCACTGCAGATTCAGAGGGTAAAGGACAAATAAAAACTGATCATTCATTTTTTTAAGAGTACCAATGTGAGAACTTGGTTTATTTTTTCCAAGGACTTGATTTTAACGGGGGTGGGGGGGGGTCTTCTTTCTTTGCACTAATTTTTTTTTTCTGCACAAGTTTTCTTTTTACCCTGTTTCACTGATATTATGTTGGGATCTATATTCTGTGATTCTAAACTGAGCAGATGTTTAACATTTGACCTCACAGAGTGATGCTTATTAAACTATCTATAATAGTCATTGTACAACAATAATCTTTGTAGAAAATTTGATCTTAATCAGATGAATAATAGAACACTAACAAAAATATTATTAAAGTTTTGCAATCTTTTTTTAAAATAATGGTTCTGGGAGATATAATTTACTTCTCGTCTAGCCTAACTATTATGTATTTCAATATGTAAAGGAATCATATATATTAGAGTAGAAAATGTGGTGTTTTATATGCAAGTCTAGATAGTAAAACAATGTTAAAACAAACTAAGGAGACAACCTTCTTAACAACACAGATATGAAACAGTTATCTGTCCTAATATGTAGACATATGTCTTATGTTTACATAAATGTTTATCATTTACAAGAACTTATTCATGAACACTTGCTTTGTCTTCATACCAATATTTTGAGATATTCTCTTACTGCGCCCATTTACAACTGAAAAACTGAATTAATAACTGGGAATCACATAAATGGTCAGGAAAACACAGTTAAAGAGAAAGAGCTGGGATCACTCAAAGTCAATGTTTACTCCCCATCTTCTTACACACTGGAAGCAGAATCCAAAAGAGTATTGCACTACTAAAACTTATTTTTCCAATATTTGTCATTTCTGATCAGAAATATACTTTTAAAGAAAAAGCAGGGCTGTGTCCCAAAACCTATGTGCATGTTTATATTTATATGAAATACTGAAATATATTAGAATATGTAATATATGGGAACATGATATAAGTATCATTTTGCAGATAGCTTCAAGGCACATGGATGAATATGGAAAGCTTCTAGGGAGCATTGTTTCACTTATTTAGTCATTATTTCCAATTTGTCAAAAACTAATTGATACAAAGTATAACTTCAATATCCTAATATAGTTAAGACGTTTCCTACAAATCAATTAACCATGATATAAGGCTTGAAATTACACTGAGCTGTTATGTGATCAAAAGATAAACAACTGGAGGTGTCCTAACTACACATTTTTTTATGAGTCTCAATATTTAATGGACTAAAATCACAGTATGATAAAATATTTCTGTGAGTTTCCTGTGTTGGAGGTACTGTTTGTGAATATAATTGGATTCATTAAACCCAACCAGGCAGTTTATTAATCAGTAGGTTGGATTGGCAGACAATGTGAAAGAAACTATTTATCTATGACATGTTTAATATTTTATAGTACTATAAAAAGCTGTTGTTTTGGCATATAATCTGATAAACTTGAAGTGAGCAACAGGTATCATGAACTGTCCCCATTCAATTAACTTTCCACACGACCACATAAGCTATTGCAAAGCCATCAAAGGACTGCATCCCTGGGAACACCTCTGGAATATGGCTGATGAAAACCATCTGAGAAGCAAATGGAAGAATTTGACTTGAAAGCACATTTCTTAACTCATAAACAAGACAGCAGAGACTCACTGTACCACACCTTCAATCAAAATACTGGACTTTAAAATACGGGCAGTCTACGGTTGGTTTTTGTTCATTACCTGTATTATGGCACCTGAGTTTATGTATTCATAACTATGTGGGAATCTTTAAAACTAAGACTCTGTTAGGAATAGTGATACTAGCATCACTGATCCTCTCTCAAGAAGTGAAAATAATGTGTATACAGAGAAACAATCAAAAAGGGATGTTTCCAACACCTGTGGATAATTAGGAGAGGAAAAGAAACAACTTTTGAAGTTCAAAATGTTCCAGTTTCCACTGGCTTGTTACAACTGGATATTTTGATGCAGACATAATATATCATCTACCTTATAAACAAATTACATAAATTATTTCAAATGTAAATTTAATGCTTTCTTACAGAAGGATAACTGGACAAAATTTCTCTGCTAAACTCTTCAATAATTCCATGTAAATTCATGCCACATAAGAGAGAACTTTGATACAGCACATCAGAAAATAACAAATTCTATAACGTTTTCAGTAAGGGCACTATATATTTAATCATATGCCAAAAGTACAAATATAATGTTTAGTATATAAAAATGAATCAAGTAACTTCACTTTTAATTCTAGAGTCCATTATGAAAGTAATGTCATATTTAGAAATTATTTGACAAAACTATGAATGGCACTTTCCAAGTAATATCATTTGAATTCATTTTTTTTTCTCCCTGATAAACCATTTCACTGGGAGAAAAAAAAATTGGCTTCTCTTTATTATGAAAGATGTGAACTGGATAGAGATACTGTAATTTGACAGTGCTTGACTTTTATTACAAACAACGAAAACATTAGTGACATCTATGATGACTGGGTTATACAACTACACAACATACACCAAATTAAATAACTCCTTCCATAAGACTGTGACAATTTCATTAGAGCAACAACCTCCTGTACTTATTACAATTGCCATTCAATCAGGTACTATCATTTTCAACCCACAATATAACAAAAACATTATATAGACAATACATGGAGTTTTCCTCAAGCCCATCAGCAGCTCTCCGGATGCACACACAGGCACAGAGTAATACTGACTAGTCCTTTAAGGATCATCTTTTAAAACTGTAACACTAGACTCAAAAGAAAAAGGAAGGAGAAATGCATATCCACCTCATCTAATGCTTCTTTTGAAAGAAATTTGATATTAAAAAAATGAAGAGGGCATAATAGTGTGTCCAAGTGCTCTTGGAAAGTTCTCTGGATGTTAATAATGTCAAACTAAAGCATATTAGTAAAACTAATCACAGTGTTCAGTTAACATGAGCCATGGAGACCCTGCTAGTTCTTCTGCCTCACAGACTTGTTATTAGTATAATTACAGGCCTCCCAAATTTCGACATCTAACTCCAAACACAATCATCTTCATTCAAGCCCTGAAACCTTATAACCCACACAATGTTAAGGATACCACTTAACATTTTTCCCAGCAACATTAACAATGGATCATGCATGTGGCAGAGAGACGCTCTGGAAAGAAGTCTCCAGGTTTAAAACATCCAGTCTATGTGTGAGAATACTCGCCCCTATTTGTCACACTTCTAATGAAGCAAACCTCCCCAAATCATGCACAGGTTCATCTCTGCAATTTGATATGTGTCATATCAAACACTTCTCCATGGGCTTTTAGAAGCAGTGGGGCTCTGAAGCCATTTCATTATGTAGGTGAATACCCACCAGCAGCGATCAACTCAACTGTCATCTGAAGAAGGATGCACAATGAGATAACTCCTGGGTAGTTTCAGCACCTCCCCATTTTCATGGAAGTCATTTCAGAAAATTCCCAGCCTCTTAAATACTGGCCACACAGTTCCTAAAAGTAAAAGTCTATGCCTGTCAGGTCTGATATTATGCTTATAACAAATCTCTGATCTAAGTCAGCACATTTGCTTGAGAACACTAGGCATACATGTTCATGATACCTTTCAGAGCTAAAGCACATCCGATCAGCTCAAACACCTTGAAAAGAACAACTGCCCCTCTTATTCTCATCTTCCACGCCCTTCATTACCCCGCATTTACTACAAAACACAACTTTGGGCATTTTAGAAGTAACTGTTCTTTGTGGAACCACACTCACGCACACCGCCCCAAATCCAGAAGTCTGTTATCTTACTACCCAAACCAAGGAGGCTACACCACCTTTCTAGTGACTTAATTCTGAGCACAGTGGCTCAAGCCTGCTGAGTAGCAATCGATGAACACATTACACACCAGAAGAAGACGAAGGTCGGGGATAAAGAGAAGCAGCTTTGCTTTCAGCCATTAATTACGAATCACCCAAATATCGCATCACATATCTCCCAAGCCCATGCACAGCTTTCCAAACCTGTGTTTCAGGCGGCGCTTTCCAGAGCCTCGCTATCTATTGTCAGGACGCAGAAGCCCCCGAAACCTGTGAATGGAACTGAAAATGCGTCCTCGGAAACCGCTAAATATAGACCAAAGGGTCCTTGGGTCTGGCAAGCAGCCATAGACTGAAGAAATGGCCATGGACGCATATGACTAAGTCTTTCCATTTTGTTCTAGCCAAACATCGTAATGACATTGAACATAAGGGCAAAAGACTGGAGGGAAGTCCTCCCCACCCCCACCCCGTCTTCTCCCATATATTAGGGACGTCATGAACGCAATGGGTATGTTCTTGAGGGTGGCTGGTAGCAGTATTGTCGGTGTTGCCCTATATACGCCTCCTCCGGGGGAGATGGGTGGCGGGGAGGGGGAGCACGCAGAGATGCCACTTGGTAACCGCTCCAAGAAAGGCACTAACCCTGGACCCCATTCCAGGGAGAGCGGTTTTCCAAGAGGGGGGACCCGGAGCAATCTCGATCCTCCCCGGGGCAGGCAGGACCACGCAGCAGTCGCCGCCACCGCCAGCCGGCCGGGAGCCTAGGACCAACCCCCACCGGCGGCGAGAAGGAGGAGGGCGACGCCGAGGAGGAGGATGCGCCTGGCCCCAGCAGCCCAGCAAAAGCAACTCACCGAACGGCGCGGCGCCCGACTGCTTCCTCGCGAACATGCACCCGCCGCCAGCTACAGCTCCTCAGTCCGGGAAAAGGCGTGTGTGCCGCCGCCCGGCTTCAGGGCAAGGTCCTGACCTTGCCCAACTGCAGCATCTTCCGCTTTTGTTGTCTGAGCGCGGCCGCGGGACAAGTGATGCTAGCGGGGAGCAGGGGCGAGCGCCGCGGGCGAGAGGCGGCTCCCGACGCGAGTGCGCAGCGCCCGGCACGGCGGCCCCTCCGAGCGCGACGATCGCAGCGCCCCCTGCCCGGATGCGCGGGCTCCGCGGGCTTCTCCGGGCTCCTCCGGGCTCTGGGCACCGCCACCGTCACCTCCACCGCCACTGCCGGCCGGGCTAGAAGAGCAGCAGCCGCGCCCGCCGCTCCGCTCGGCCGGCTGCCGCCGCGGGCGCGAGCCTGGGGCCGCCGCGGCGCCCGGCGCCGAGCGCTCCCGTGCTGCGCCCCGCGCGCGGCCCGCGCCACCTGTGTCGCCGCCGCCGAGGGCGAGGCTCCTCCCGCGGCGCGCGGCAGCCTCAGCCTCCACCTATGCCTTGGCGGCCGGCTCCGGCGCCCGGCTAGTGAGGAAGCGTCCGCCCCACCACCGAAACCTGCTTTGGGTGCCGAGCATGCCCAGTGCCGCCGCGAAAGCGAGGCGCTTCGCCACGCGCATTCCACTTCTGGTTTTCGCGGCAGCAGCAGCAGCAGCAGAAAGGGGAGGAGGCCGCGGGTTGGGAGAGGGCCGGGCATACTTGGGAATTGCACACCCTGGACCAGAGATGGGAGGATGCTGGGGAGCCAAGTGAAAGCTGGAAGGGATGAGGGAAGGATGGAACCCCGGGATGGAAGGGTTCTCAAAGGGTCGGGTCCTTCATTCACGTGCAAGCTACTGACAGTGGATTCTGGAGGGGCAGATATCAGTCTGCAAAAGGCTGAGGGTGGAGGGGGCGTCTAGAACAGCTTGTGAGTTGTGGGAGGGGGACCAGGATCGCTATTCATGCTGGTGGACTGAGGTGGATGCTCTTGTAGATCCTGTGGTTCTAGAGCAAAGAAGACGTGACATCGGTGAGATGTCTTTTTCACAGTACCCACCCGCCCCATCTTACCATCACCTCCAGTGTTCTGATTACATGATTTTCACTGGTGGAGAGACTTTCTTTTTCTGCAATAAAGACACTTGTCTGGTCTGAAATTGATTACAGGTGATGAGTTCTCCTCCTCTCTTCTTGTGTCATCTTTTTTAGTCGTTTTCTTCTGCATTTTTGCCACCTTTCTTCCTCCTCTTCTTCCCCTTTTTCAAACTAAAATGGAAAAGCTCAACTCTTCCTTCCCCCAGTCTTCCTATACAGGTTGCATTACATTCTTCATTTTTTTAGATGGGTTTTCCAAATCTCCTCATGGTCATACAGATTAACCCCTGTGAGATTTCTCAGTGTGTCTCTTGCTGTGAAATTTAGCAAGTAGAGTCACCCTATTGAAAATCTTGCTGGCAAACAAGACCCTTGTCATATGCCAAGGAAGTCCTCAGGGCCTTAACCTGTGACCCTCTGTTTCAGGAGTCATGTGGAGAGCCTCCCTACCGCATTTTCAAGACATGACTACAGCAGACCACAGGTTGCACAGGAGCCAGGACAAATACTGCCACCCTGCCATGGCTCAGCATCCCTGATACTGCAGATGGCAGACTGTGTGGAGTTGTGATCTTCTCCACTCCATCCCTCCCCAGAGCTGGTTCTGAAACACTGATAAGCATGACAAAATACTGGAAATCATAATAAGAGGGATTTGGGGCTTATGAATCTCAATGTGCTTCTATTTTGTATTAGAAAAGATTATCCAACAAAGTTAAATAACTTGAATATATAATCAGTGCTAATCTCTAACATACTTGGGAGTAAGTCAGAATATAAGTTGAAGTAAGAGTGAAGTAGAAAATGTTTTAAACAGGTTAAATAGGTAAACATAAATGAATGGAGCAGCAGATTATTGAAGGACTACTGACAACACCACAAATGCATTCTTATTACCTGTGTCTTGGGGATGCATATGCTTAAGTTGGCTTGTCTCACCTACAAAAATAGTTCTCCAGTGTGGCTCTAAGCTATAAAGCTGGTCTGATATTAAAATAGTCTGTTTCCTGTGAGGGAAGACATGCAAGGTCACATGTTTACCTCTATTTTATATATATATTTGCTCTGAGATAGGCAGGTTAATTAGATTGAGTTCTTGGTACAAGAAAAATTAGCAGCATCTTTTGTATTAGATCAGATTATATTTTAAAAGATGCTCTTTATTTCCAATCTTAGTCTTGTCAATTTGTTTTTATTTTTGTTTGTCTATTTGTTTGTTTTTCTCTTTACATCGTTTTTTAACTCAGGAAGTTGTGGGGAAGGAGGGAGATTGATGAGGGGAAATCAGGTTACTCTTTGGGTTAAAATTGAGGTAGCTGCATAAGTAATTCCCACAGAAAAGTTTGTGTGTGTTTTATGCCCATAGAGATCCAAGATGAGACAATAATGTTCCAAACCATTTTTAGAGTTACTTTTGCAATGAGCAATGGTGAAAATCCTGTTCTCTAATTATGCACCTTGACAATGACCCATAGGCAGTCCCTAGATTTCACTGGGGATGGGTGAGAGGTACTTGAACAGAGTAGTGATACCCAGGATTACATTGACTTAATTTGTTCTGTGCCCCATTTTTCATTGGAACATTTATGATTTCTATACTTCTAGAATAATTTATTACTCTAGATATTATTAAATTTTCAAGTAGATAATTTTGAAAAATAAAGTAAAATGATCATGTGTAGTGTTCGATCTTGGAATGACTCACTGCTGCCATCTTTTGCCTCCTGCTTCTGATAGTTCCTGTAAAAAGGAACGTTCTGAATTCACTAACTCACTATAACACCAGAAAATTATTATTTTATTGTTTTCAAATGATAGCAATTAATACTAAGTGAAAATCTTTATTGTATTTTTTTCTGCAGATGCATTATTAGAGTTATGTAATATAGAAATCACATCTAAATAAAAGTTTTACTTAATTTTTAGAAATAAGATCTAATGAAGTTTATGTGTCATATTTTGTAATTTAAAGTATGTCAATTTTGGGAAAATGATGTCCTTATGTGAGTAAAAGTTGCTTAATATACTATTATACTTTGGTATTTAGGCTCAAATAGCAGATACTATTTGTATAATATTCAATGTATATTACCCATTGATAATCACACAGAAAGTTTGAAAATTGGAAAATAATATTATGAGAGTAGTTATTGTTGCTTCCCTGAATATAAGTAGAGTAAAAATATTTCTTTAAAATTCACAATCTAAACTTTAAATATTTTTTGGAATAGTAACATGTAGTGTAATCACAATGATATATATATATATATATATATATATATATATATATATATATACATATATATATATTTAGGAGCCTAATAAATACCACTATGAGTTGATCATTACAGATGTGGTATTTGATACTTAAGCATGTCACTGTTGTATTTAAAGATTTGAAAAGTGATTAAATATTTGCATTGACCATTTTGCTTAATATCAACCTGTGGACCACTCAGTATTTGATTCAAAACTTCACACTTCATGCACACTGCCTTTCATTATGGCTAAAGGCATTTGATGTGTTTTCAGCAAATGTTGACTAAGCATGTAGTGTGGTTCAGTCCTAGGAAAATTTGAAGAATTGATAGCAAATAATAGATTAAATAATTAATTCTCTATATTTATAGAATTCAACAGTAAAATTGGACTTACTGAGTAAAAGAAAAAGACAGAACCCCAAGAAAGTAACCACAAAAGCCTAATATACTGAAATATCCTCATTTCTTTCTTTTCTTTTTATAAATAATAAATTAGCATTTATTGATGGCCTTCTATCTACCACATTCTATCCTAACCCCTTTCAACCATTATTTCATTTCCTCTTTTTAAAAAAAATTTAATTTATTCTAATTAGGTATATATGACAGCAGAATGCATTTTGATTTATTGTACACAATTGCAGCACAACTGTTCACTCCTCTGAGTGTACATGATGTAGTGTTGCACGATATGTGCATTCATATGTGTACGTAGGATAATAATGTCCATCCTGTTCCACCATCTTTCTGGCCCCCATAGCCCACCACTCTCCTCACTCCCCTGCCGCAGTCCGGCTGCAGCAAAATTACCGGAGGGTGAGGAACAACTTGTGTAGATCGATACAGCAGGAGTGGGAGCCATTTATTGTAGGACAACAGAGGTATTTATACATTCCACACAGCTTATCTTAATTAGCATAAACTAGATACATCAGTCAACCAATAAGGAATCTCCACACTTAATGGCTCACTGGCCTTACTTCACAAACCTCTCCCTCTGGCATTTTGCCAGGCGCCATCTTGACTTGTTTACAGACTCTAACACTCCCCTTTGTCCAAAGTTCCTCCATTTTTTCCCCATGCCCCCCATTATGGATCAGCATCCACTTATCAGAGAGATTAAGCCTTTGGGTTTGGGGGATTGGCTTACTTCATTTAGCATGATATTGTCCAGCACCAGCCATTTACCTGCAAATGCCATAATTTTATTCTCTTTTAATGCTGAGTAATATTACTTTGTGTATGTGTACCACAGTTTCTTTATCCATTCATCTTTTGAAGGACAACTAGGTTGTTTCCACAGATTAGCTATTGTGAATTGAGCTGCAATAAACATTGATATGGCTGTGTTAATATAGTATGCTGATTTTAAGTCCCTTGGGTATAAACCAAGGAGAGGGATAGCTGGGTCGAATGGTAATTCCAAGTTTTCTAAGGAATCTCCACACTGCTTTCCTCATTGGTTGCACCAATTTGCAGTCCTACCAGCAATGTATCAGTGTGCCTTTTCTCCCACATACTTGTAAATACTTATTGTTGTTTTTGTTTCTTGATAATTGTCATTCTGACTGGCGTGAGATGAAATCTTAGAGTAGTTTTGATTTGCATTTCTCTAATTACTAGAGATGTTGAACATTTTTTTTTTTTTTTTTTTTTTTTTTTTTTCCCTATTAGTAACTGTTGTATTCTGCTACCTTTCCTATCCTCTACCATCCCCCCTCCCTCCCCTCCCATCTTCTCTCTCTACCCCATCCACTGTAATTCATATCTCTCC